GGGGGAAGGCGACCTTCCAGGACCCACTTGGAAGATGCACATGGATATCAAATGGGCACATTAACCAAAGGTGCAGTGTTTGCAAGACATAACATGTTTGCTTGTTTTAGTAAGAGTTTTACGGCACTTGCAACACAATAAGGTCATATGAGAGCCAGAAGATTAGAGGTGTTACAAGAGAGTAAGAAACACGAAAAAAGACGGAAGGGAGAAAAAGACGATAGATGTTTGATAGGAAAGAAGGAGCAAACCACACCAGAGCACCCGTCAACCACCCGCAAGGATCCACTGTCATTAGGAAGATGCACATTGATATCAAATGGGCATAACCAAAGGTGCAGCGTTTGCAAGACATAAAATGTAAACCAGGCAGAGAAACAATCGGATAGAACAGGGTGATAGCCGGCCCAACATAAATTGTGAAGCAAAAAAAAAAGTGCAGATCAATGAACAACGCGCATGAACATCACAGCAACGCGGAAGACATGCGGATAACTTTAGAACGACAGATGTACGCCATTGGCCGATATTTATAGTAACAACCATCTTGTTTGACGTCATTGAGGGATTCCCACTTTGTTGTCGTTCACGGTGACAACACGACCACAAAGCACTATTGCAGTATTTTTAAAGCCTGTAGCTTACAGTGGCGTGGTGGCGGAGTGGTTAGTGCGCCTGTCTCCAAAGCAGAAAGTCCAGGTTCGAGCCTCGGTTCGGCCACAGATTTTTTTTCGCCCAACCACCTCTAATGGGTACGTGACTTCGAGTTGGGAAGTAAAGCGACGTCAAACAGAATGGTTGTTACTATAAATATCGGCCAATGGCGTACATCTGTCGTTCTAAAGTTCCCCGCATGTACGCAGAAGAGAGCTACACCATACACACAGGCAAAGGACCAAAAGCAAAACAAGATCAAGGCATGGGTGCAAGTTTAACATGAAAGTGAGAACTACAACATCCGAGAGATTGAAGGCTTCAAAAATACAGAATGTGGCATCAGATGATTGTCAGATGCGGTGTATCTCGTCAACCAGGAGGCTTAAGCCACTGAAAACAAGAGCCACGCATAATGAATTAATTCTGTACACCAAGTTTAAGCTGAAAAGAACAGATACTACACTTTGATCTTGGCCAAAAGGCCGAGATGCGATCTCTGTACACCAAAAATTAGCGTATTCGAACAC